TGCAGAAAAGACGGAAAGATACCTTGTACGTTATCTTGCGATGATGTGCAATGACTGTCAGCTTTTCTATCAGCTCCCTCAGGTGCTCCTGTGCGGCATGGGAGACAAGACTCACAACATCCAACGTGACATCCGAAATGCCATATTTCTTACCTGAAAAAAACAACGAAATCAATAATCCATATCTGAGAGGTAGCACATCAATGAAATAATTAGCACAGCAGGTATTCTGTTCCCCTGGAAGTCATACACATTAATGAACAAAGGTAAGGAAATTAGGATTTTTCTCATAAAATCACAACTTCAAAGATCTCAGGCATTACATTAATAAAACCTTGCCTGCAGCATCAGAAAATATAGACACCATTTCATTTAGCCCCCGGAACTCCTTACTCTTTCTGAGGTCATTCTTAGGACAAAGACAACAGGACCACAAATCAATGAAAGAGTCCAGAGCAAGAAAAACAAAACTAGAATTTGTATGAATACCACAGACTATTAATATTTATTAAAACATTTATTACATTATTAAGTGATAAAAAATGTACTTCAGCTGAAATGCAGCACATTCTTTCATAATGTATATAGCCTTTAAAATGTTTCCCAAGAGGCTATTTCAGGGAAAATTATTGGAATAATATGTAAACTCACTTGGACTGTCTCATAAAAACCTGTAATGCAGCTGATGAAAATGCTCAAGCAAAATCTCCAAATCTCAATTTTTGCAAGCCTAATTATTGCTGATGAGCACTGCTTTGCACTTTCAACAAGCAAGAATTCTGGGCTTGTATTCCCATTTGCATTAAAAAGATGAAGTCATGATTATATCTCAACAGGAAGTTAAACCATTTCAATAGTTAAATATAACATTTTAAAGCCTATCCACCCTAAAAAACACAATGACCAAAATTCTAGAAGGGCAGAAATGTATTCATTCGTGCCACTCTTCAAGGTTTACACTGATTTATTTAAACAGCAATCAAGATTTTAAGATGCGACTGAAGGTGGAGGAAGTGGAGCCTTTTTCAACATTCTATTTATCCACTGAAAGACTAATCAAACTCTTGGCCTAAAAATTCAAGCACCTGATCAACAAAAACTGTGTAATATCGAGCACAATTTCCTAATGCTCCACGTGCTTTTTTGCTCGTTTAACTAGCAAACCTAATCTTCTCTCCTATTAATCCACTAGTACCCTAACCAAATTATTCTGTCAATTTTCCATAAGGCATCAAAACACATACACAGCTGGTTGTGTAACAATGGAGGTGGAAATAAGTCTCAAACTTCTTTCGTCAGACCTCATGTTTGAGACTTTTTCATAAGCCCAATTAGTTGTATTACACAAACTATTTCTAAACGTAAAAAAACACTATGACTGCTTGAATAGTATGTCACACTTTCTAAAGATCCACAATTTGGCCTGTAAAATCAGGTTCCCGTCAACTTGGGCATGTACAAAAACAACATATTTTAAAATGCATAAATCAAATGTGCATGCATTTAAGACTGAAAAGCTACATATTTTGCTAATCAAGGATCACACATTTTTAAATACTTAACCAGGGAGGCAGGCAGAGTGCAGGGCACAAAGGTGAGAAGAACACTGGACCTCCACCAGATTGATCTACATATTTCTTTATTTAGAAACACAAACTATTTTAAATAGGCAGGCTACCATTTTTTCAGTTTTGAATCGTAAAATTGTAGTAAATTATGAATTTATATCACAGTTCGCAGCACCTTCTCATTCTGCCATTTCTCATTCCAGGTTCCCAGAACTCCTGACACGCAGGCAGGTTTCTTTAACTAACTCGTCTATTCATTTTACGACGCACTGCAGGCTTAGCAGTGATGTGCAAGAGCTTCTGCCAAACTGAGGGCTGCTACATGCCCACCAGCATCACCTCAAGGCTGCGGGCACAGGACCATGATGTGCCTGCAGTCAAGGCAGTCCTGACCGAATCATCCAAACCCAAATTCTCGTGGTGCCAATTCTTCACTGCTGCTCAAGGAATAAGGCCTATATATTTTTTGTGATATCTAAAGTTAGGGCTTCAGAAAAAAAAATTGTTGTAATGACAAAGCTTTACAATTCCTCCGTGTTCATATATCTTACAAAATTACTGGAAGCTGGAAATGTCCTTGAACTGTTTCACTTTCAGAAACTGCTTCACAAGAAGCTCATAATTCACTACTCCTTTTATATAAGAGATTCTGTCAATAACCATCTGTTTTTAGCGTGAGGTGGAAAAAAAATAACACTGAGCAAGAAAACAGTGAGGTATTAGTGAGGCATAAATCTAAACCTCAATAGCAGGCTTGGACTACAACATAGAATTACAGGGCTCAAATGCTGAATTAACAATAGACCTGGACTGGTAGAATTTTTACTTTTGTACATTTCCAATACGCGTGACCAATTTAGCCTGCGGGTTATAAAGGCCCTGCAGCCTCAGACTGTCCTACAGCCACACCAGCTGGAGAAGGCTGTGGTGGCACATGTGTCTCCTGTTCTCCCAGCCGGGGATCCTCGGAGCTGAGACTGAATCGCCAGCCTGCCTCACTGGGGCCCATGACGTTTCTTGTGCTCGGTCTAAACTCGGTACTTAACTCACAGGAAGCTTTCAGAAATGTGCAACTAACATCAAAAACCGACAACTGAACTTTAGTCACAGCAGATAAGAGATGTTGTTAACAAGTCCTTTGCTATCAGATGTCTTCTGTGTACTTTTATCACGCACACCTCTGGAAAAGAATGTAACAAAGAAAAGTGCTTCAATTCGCTTCAGACCTTAGTGATACTTCAGGTGAAGGCCTAAAAAAATAATCTACGAAAACAGAAAAAGGCACGAAGGAACAATAAAAAGATTTCCAAAACTCATTACAGTATAATCTTGGCCCCTTAAAATAGGCACTGTTAGTATTTCTATTTTTTAAAGTAACAATGCATTTATGAATTTCAATTTTTACAAAGATAAGCAAGAATTTACTCTTTCATTTCAACAATGCCACTACTGTGTTTAGTGGGTCCCCAAGTCCACCCTCTGGTCTTCACCACGTCGACTAACACTGTGTAATGTACGGTTAGCACTGACAGTGAAGTGACTGATGACAGAAGCTGTAGCAAGAGGACACTTTCAGTCTCCTCGGTTTAGATCCTGTTAGCTCAAGGCCATCTTCTTTCAAGGTGTGTGGAAGCTAACATGCAAAGGCTTCTCCACAGTTAAAGATACCTAGCGCTGGCATCTTCCATCCCCAGCATGTTCTCCAAGACCTCCTGTAACCAGCTAAGGGACAGAAAGTGTCACAAAGCTTCAAAAAGTGGGCGTAAAAGTGATGGCTGGATGCTCCTTCGCATGATCTGATAGAAGCAACTGTTAGAAGACGGGCATCAATTATCTGGGTTGAGGTTAAGTGCATTTTAGCACCAGGGTGCGCTTTTTAGGATTAATTTTGCTCAGACCTCTTGGGGTGGGAGTTAGAAAACCACCTCTAAACCTAACCTGCTTGATTGGATAACTGTGTCAGGAAAGACCACCCTTTTTATCAAGTAAAAAAACGAGTGTATTTCAAATTGGTTTCTCGGCTTGAGAAATTGAGAAATTGGACATCCTTTTTGACACCCTGCATCAAAACACAACAAACTGGAGAAAGGAACTCAAACAAAATATATACTTTCTTTTACAAGGGAAAATTCAGAGGGTGAACATCATAATCATGATTACGATTGTGTATTTGTTGTTTACAAATTGCCCTTAAGATTCTTCTAAAAATCAATGATTGCTTCATGACGGTCTCAACTGAACACAGTTACCAAAAATTCCTATGCAATTTTTACTCATACTCATAGTCCAGCTCAATCATATCCTTTTTGGTCGGGCTTAGAAAACTTTTGCCTCTTCCCCTACGCTCTCCTTCAGTTTGTCTGGGAAATGTTCAGCATTCACTGCTTTAACCTTCAAGGGCAAACTGTGCAGGTCAGTTAAAACATTCAAAACAACATTTATTAGACTGAAGATCCTTCTACACATTCTCAGTCCCTTAAATGTTGCACAATGTTCCTATTTTTCACCAAATCAGGATCAGGCTCAGCAGCACCTTATACATAGATATAAGCAGTTAAACTCTTCTTTGGTGCTTCTTGTTTCCAGGCCTATATACTACAAACCTGTACAGGTAAAGCAACTCCACGGGCACCTTCACAAGGGGCTTCTTTGCAGCTTGCCCATGAATACCACCTTTATGCAGACAACTCCGCATTGGAGATCTCCAGGTTTTGCCATTGGATTAACAGCAGCCCCCTGAACCACAACCCTTGATAGGAAAATACACCTATGTCTTCTTCCTGGCTGGGGTGCCAAGGTACAATCCAACCACCCATGTTCTCACTGCTTTATCCAATACAGTGTCACAGAGGAGCTGGAGTCTATCCTGGCAAGCAATACCAATAGTCTCAAATCTTTAAATAATGAAATAATTCTACCACGAAAAGAGGAAAACTCTGCTTTTTGCAAGTTTCTTTTAAATCTATTCCCCAAATCATGGAGATTCTTTAAACATCTGCAGAATCCAGAGGCGTCCACTGCACTTCCAAAGAACAGACTTTGTTGGATTTTATTAAAAGGAAAACTTAAAAAGTGCAAATAAATGCAAACTTCGTGTTTCCTGGAATTCAATTGTTTGACAAATATGACTTTCCTTTGTATTATATTATGTTGTTAAGATTATAATATAACAATTTCAGATATTTTTAGGCAAGACATTATCCAATCCGTAAAAATATTTTTATTTTTTTTTCATTCCCATTTCATTGTGTCCTCCTTATTTCTTCACATACTCTGACTTCAGAGACAACACCAGCTTCACGTGCCAGAGAAAGTGGAGGTTCAATATTGGTCTTGCTAGCAACCCTGTGTTCATGGAAGAGCATAATTCATTTCTGACTGCGAAAAATGGCAAAATTATGAATGCTTTAGACTGATGTATCTCATGATCAAGACGAATTATGTATACTCTCACACATCTTCCAGCAATACATTATAAATTCTTTCATGAGCACAATTCAAAACTTACAGACACTGAAGACAAAAAAAGGAATACAGAAGTACCAACGATGGGACAGTAGGAGAAAAAGCAACCTGAATACTGCC